CCCCCCGTTCCCGCATTCACTTTCCCTGAGCGTGCCACGACAAAGGGGAGACAAATTACAGAAGAAAAAACTTTAAATCAACTTCTGGTCGCCTTTATTTATATGGCATTTTAAATCGTTCTGGTTTTCTTAATTGCCCTTTCGTCTTCCAAAAACATGTAATCATCTTGCTTTTCATAGTCATAAGTACTGGTTTAACTTAAAATACCTCTAAGTGCTTTTTGTCGGTAGGGGAATTTAATAAAATTTGAAAACTTGCTTCTCGTTATGCTTCCCAGACCGCCTCCTTCCCCTCCCCCTCTGCGAGGGCTTGGGTCTTTCTCCCTGCGTGAGTGAGCACGAGCAGATTTTCTTGGGGCTCCGTTTTAAAGAACAGAACCGGGAAAGAGGTTTCAGTCTTTGTTTTTCTTTCATCTTTATTCTTTGAAGATAAGAAAAGGGTTATTTTCCACTCTTGATTTCTCTTAATTAGCAAGATTTGAAAGAACACCTTAGGATTTGAAACTAATTAACAATATAGTTCTACGTTTCATCACTTCTTTCCTTGACTTTGGGCAAATCTGATATTTCTTTGTCCTGTACTTCAAAAAAATAAGATCCTATTTATCTTGGGTAAAAGACATTTCATGCTTTAGCATGCAAATTTCTGCAAAAGGTAGTATGTATACCTGGTGAGTCTTCACAATGAATACTGGGGAGGGTGGGGGGACATGGGTTCCATAGTTTACAAGTCAAATTTTTATAATGTATGTATTATTTATGAAAACACTTCTCAGGTATGTATTTTTTAAAACCCAAAGCTTGTTTACATTGAAGAATAAAATGCCTAAGCTGAAAATTGCATTTTGTGTGCATCAAAATGCTAGGAAATATCATGGGAGGCTCAGCTCTATCCAGGTCACAGAAACTGATACGGTATTCTTATTTGAAAATATGATTATTTATGATGTTCTTTCTGCTCTGCGATTCCTTTTAAGTTTATCGTCGTGGCTCTATTCTTGCTGCCTTTTTTCATACCTCTTGCATTATTCCTCAGCTGTCTTCATCTACTTGCATATTTGCTGTTTCACCTAATCTCACTGTCACTTTTTTTCCCATTTATTTTCTCCCACTCTCTATTTTGCCCCCCAGAAACGTATAAAAAAAAAGTAATTTTCTGATTTTTCCACTTTGCTTACTCTCAGCAGAGCTCAACTAAAGTCACTAAGAAGGTTCTTTCCAAAAAATAAAGCAGAGGAGTCTCAGCATGAACTCTATTTCTTTTCAGGCATTCAAAAGCATTTTATAAGCCATTGTCTTTTTTCCCCCTCCAGAAACCAGTGCGGTGTGGCAAATTGTGCAGAATAGAAATGCCTATAATGAATGTATTTAGTACTGGGTCACGCTGATGAGCATTCTGCCCCCATGAATAATACTGTTTCACAAGTTTGTAGCCCTTTCCAATTGCTGATCCCCAAACCCTATGGGCAAACTAGGAAAACTACCACAAGCAACTGGGACTTTAGAAACCCATAGCCATCTGGCCTAGATCTCTAACAATCTGAGCCAATAATTATATCAATTCAGGCTTTAGTGAACTCCTTTGCAAACACCAAAAGAGCAAAGAAAGGAATTAGTGACTATTCAAGGTTGGAGAAAGAATTCAAAGGTAATCTAATTCCATTAGTTCTAGGAGAGTTTTCTTTGTGGATTTGATAAGTCTACCTCCCCCAAAAAACTCCAAAAGCTATGAACTTGCTTACCTTAAAGTAGAGGACACTTTTTTCTCCTAATGCTTAAAAACTAAAAATAATGTTTAAAAATCTTTCTTTCATTTCTGGTAGTGAGCCTGAACAGAATTAATCAATGTGAACAGAATTTTTGATTGACTTACTGAAATATTTAAAATAGGTTGTAAATTAATATATATTCATAAAGAGTGTGTTTCTATGAGTAAGTCTTTAAAGAACTTGGAATCTGTTCATGGAGGATGGCTTTTTTCACTTGGGGCAGCATCCTCACCAAGTATCATTTCATTCTTATTCCCTGAGAAATGATGTATGCCTACCTGATAGTATTGTTTTTGATTTGTTCTCACTATACACCACTACTCTGTTTTTCAAACTTGTTTTCAAAATGTACAGAATAGAAAATGAATCTTTCCTTTGCACTTTTCATTAGTTCCAGCGATTCAAAATATCCTTATTTGGTAGCCCTAAAAAGAAAATACTGAAGAAGAAAAAAAAAAAAAACTCTCTCCCATATCATTTGCTATTTGTGAAAGGGTTTGTATTAGGGGAGAAAAACTGATAAACTCTTCTTTGTTGTCATCTAATGGTGATTTGATTGAACTTTCTGCTGCTTCTGGAACTTTACAAAGTCATGAAGAAGTGGTAGACCCTCAAAGGCAACTTCTCAGATACCCAGGGAAGGACAATTAATTGAATGTTTCTTAAAATCCATCTACCGATGATATGGCAGACAAAAGAGAAGGTTCCACCTCTTGAGGAGTGTGGCATTCTGAATGATACTAGGCATCGCAACAAACTGGCTCTAGCTCCTGCAGGAGAATCTTGGCTACTTCCATCCTGTTGGGCATATTTCATCCACAAAGCTCCTTTTATCACTTTAGCTTAAATTGGCTGACAATTGCTAAACCTAGAGAAATGATATCAGCTGGCATTTGCGATACATCCTGCCACCTCTAATAACAATTTTATTATGCCATTTATTTTGATTACTTTTGTTTTAAAGAAAATGAAGCTTTATAATTCTAAATGTTTAAGGTTTTTCTTCCTACTGAAGAGGAAGAGAAACGTGAGACTGAATTGTAAAGCACAAACATCTCTCCAGTATGTAAAAAATAGTGTCTTTTTAAGTAGTGGAATACAAAATTAAGGTCACCAAAATATCTTTAAAACAAAGATGGATTTTGTTTTAAAACTCCTAGTTCTTAGTTTATATTTTATTAGTGCATACGAAATGCAAAAATAGGTAGAATAAATATTCACTTCCATCTGACCATATCCTCTTTCCCATCATCAAAAGAATACTATGAGATGTTGCAGTCTTCATGTAGATGGACGTAATGTCACAATCATTCCTTATCGCATTTGTGGTGAAATGCCTTAGAGGAGGGACTCACGGTTCTGCTTGACACCAGGCATCCGTAGCGAGCCTGAATATTTACTATGTTCGAAAATTAGACAAGAGCCAAAATTTGACCAGGCTAAAGTTGGCAAAGTTAAGGAATCTCAACACCCTGGAACTGTTGAAGATAAAGCTTGACTTTTTATGAGCCCAAGCCATGTGTGAGCGCAAGGGCTACCAGTGGCGGCTGCGTAACCCTGAACAAAGTGCTTAACTTCTCTGAGTCTGTCTGATCCTCTGGGAGGAATAATAATAATTCACTATAACAAATTTTTGTAAGATTGAATTACAGGCACACCTCAGAAATAACGTGGGTTCGGTTCCAGACAATCGAAATAAAGTGAATATAGCAATAAAGCAAGTCGCATAATTTTTCTGGCTTGCCAGCACATATAAAAGTTATGTTTACACTATACTGTAGTCTAGTAAGTGTGCGATAGCATTGTCTAAAAAATGTACATACTTAAATAAAAAATAAAAAATAAATGTATTGCAAAAAATGCTAACCATCATCTGAACCTGTGGGTTAAATGGTGCTGATAGGTTTGCTCAACACGGGGTTGCCACGAACCTTCAATTTGAAAAAAATGATATATCTGTGAGATGCAATAAAGCAAAGTGAAATAAAAAGAGGTATGCCTATAATTGGGGACTTTCCATAGAGGCTGGCCCAAAGAAGACAGACAACAGAGGTTAGTTTTCACTCCTTAGCCTCTGTGTGTCTGTCTTCTTCCCAACATCCACCGAAGAAAAGTGGATTATATTCACAGCCTTGTTGCTTTTCTACTTCTGGTTTAGATGCTTATATAATTTTATGCTGGGAAGATTAAGCTCTCCCCAGTTTTGATTTATGAAGGTCACCTTTGAAACATAATCAACAAAGCTAATAGCACTGATATACGATGATCTTGAAAACTTGCTGGTTCACTGAAGAACATTCAGAAAGATCTATCAGATATACCTGAGTATCATTCCAGACTCGAAACCATGGGAACATAGCTAATAACACAGTTAAAGGGAATCCACAGGTGCTTCATTATCTCACATTTGGTAGGATACACATCTAGTATTTGCTTGCTCTGAAATAGTTTGAGATAAACATTTTTTTTTAATATCATGTCACACTATACTGGGAAGACAAAAGGATGTAATTTGATATGATATCTTGGCAATGACAAGGAAAGATAAAATTTTTCAAATAAGATTTTCATTTAAAAAGCACTATAAGACCTTTTATCAATCATATTACATCTCTTTACGTTGTTCTCTCTGTATTCCATTTACTAATCTATTCACGAATATAATGAAAAAAAATCACCAAACAATATGAACCCCTTATTGGAACAACATTATCAACATAAGATCAAGGGTCGGGAAATGAGAACAGATCCTAAACTATCCTTAGAGTTGTAGAATAGAAATAGACTTTAGTAGCATTCTGATGAAACTGAATGGGATAACTGCCCACAGAAGGGCTATACACCTGGAGGCATAGCTGTGTCGGTGCCAGGAGGCAGTATCAGTGGGGGACCGGGAAGAGTTGGAGTCCATGAAATATAGTGACAGGTGTGAGGTCAATTATGTCTGAGTGGGCGATCGGTATTTGTGATGCCCTGCCAACGGTAGCCCACAAGATTCCACTAGGTTCTTAGGATCTGGCAACAAGCCATCCACAGAGTCAAGATGCAAGGCATGGAGGTGAGCTGCTGTTCAT